TCTCTCATTCTCTCTCTCAAATAAATAAATAAAATCTTTAAAAATAAATAAATAAATAAATAAATAAATAAAATAGTCATTCCTATCAGTTCTCCAAGTTCTCACCTTGCAACAGATTAAAGAACTAAAAAAAAGAGACTAAGCTCATTTTCTAGGAAAGGAGGCTTTACAAAATTTGAGATTATATATCTTTAGTTTTTATTCAGTTTTTCAATATAAAAAGCTGTACAAAGACTTTTCTGCAAGTCCCATGCAGACACTGCCTGCTGTGTTTCTCAACATCTCTTATGTAAAGGTATGAAGGATATGCTTATTTAAAAATTTGGAAGCAGGGAAAAAGTTATCATTCAGAACAGTTACTTGCTTTATTGTCAGAGAAAAAGAACCTTAAAACCCATCACTTTTTTTCTTGTTCTCTTTGTCTGGTTTATTGTCTGAAATCTAAATTTATGAAAATGCAAACAGAAATCTTATTTCAGGTCTCTAGCATAATTACTTTTTCTCTATTGCCTTAATCTAACTTTTAGTTTCCCGCCATTATTACAAGCTATGGGGAATATTTTTTTCAGAACTATTTAAGTCATGTACTTAATTATAATTAAGTAAATAAATACACCATAGGCAGCACCATGTAAGAGAAAGACAACACCCGGAATAAGAAGATGAGAATTCTAATACTAGCCCCATTACCACAAAGTCATGGGATCTTTGGCACCTTTCTTAAACTAAACCTTGGAAAAACTGTGAGTCATGCTACCAAATGGATGGTACTTGAAAACACATGTTATAATTACAAAAGTGGTAAGTAGTATAAAACAAGCACAGAAAACACCTCAGTCACAAAAATCAGAGGGATGGTTAAGAAGCCTTTACTCTGTCTTTCAGCTCTGAAATTCTAGAACTGATTTTTAGCTAGGAAGATTAAAATAGGCTTCATGGGATATCTGTGCTAGGTGTGAAAGGCAGGACACCAGATTATACCTTCCAATTTTATGTATAATATATTTAAAGATGTGGCTTAGAATGGCAAGTGGAAAGATGATACAGATGTATATCTACAGAACTTATATTCTAGAGAAGTCTTCTTCCAGATAAATATTCTGAGGTCTGACATCTGAACTGAGTGCTTCACTCACTGGCTCCACACTCACAGAGCTAACCACTAATTCCACTGTCCCTGATCTGACTCTCCCCACCAAACCTCCCAAAACCCCCCAATAATATTTAATTTAAAGGATAATTCATATAGCTAAGTAGGTTATTACAAAATCTGCATATAAAGCTCATAAAATATATCTCATAGCAACCAGTTACATTTTTTAAAGATAAATAACAATCCAATATTATTCAAGGTTTGACACTGAGATAATTTTTCAACTTAAAATAAAATTACCTGTAGTAACCCTCCATCATCAAAACGTAGTACTTCTATTATGCTCTCCGACTGAATAAATGCTGTGAAGGAAACAAAACATACTATCACTTTACGGAAACATAAATCTGATTTAAATAAATATCTTTTACCTTAAAGTTAATAAATACAATTACATATTTTAAAAAACATACTGCTTGAGGTGATGGTTAAAGAAGAAAATGCAATCCTGCAGGATTTTTAGCAACTATGAACTGCTTTAAAATAAAACAATACAACCGAATTAGAAAGTAGTTGTAACAACCTATAGGCTGTGTAAGCCACCCGCAAAATATATTCCTGCTATACTTCCAGAAAGTGCAAAACAGTCAAATTCAACTAGATGCAGGTGATTACTTTCACTGACAGACAACTGAAAATATCACAAGCACATGGAAAAGATCATTAGAGGATTCTATTACCAAAAAAATAAGCCAAAATTCTGTATCATCTGCTCTTTTACAGCAATGATAGGACCTAGAAGCAACAGTCAAAAGAAACTTGGAGGGAGAAGGGACAAGGAAAATGGCAAGCGATTATTCTATTCCAAGAAACTGTGTACAACACAAAGACAAGATATTCAAAAAGCTCACATACTTTTACCATATGATCTGGCGACTGTGCTCATGGGTATTTACCCAACTGATTTGAAAACTTATGTCCATATAAAAATCTGCAAGCAATTCTGTATAGCAACTCTATTCATAATCACTCCAAACCGGACACAAGATGATATTCTTCAATAGAGGAGCAGATAGACAAACTATAGTACATCCACACAATGGAATATTATTCAGTGATAAAAAGTAAAATAAAAAGCTACATACTGTTTGATTCCAAGTACATGACATTCTGGAAAAGGTTATACTAACAGAGATGGTAAAAAGGCAAGAGGTTGCTAGAAGTTTGGGGAGAGGAAATATGATGTAAGTGAAGCAAAGGAAATTTTTCAGAGCAGTAAAACTATTCTGTATGACACTGGAATGGTAGATACCCGGCATTATGCATTCATCAAAATGGAACTTTAGAGTGAACCTAATGTATGCAATTTAAAAAATCATTTGGGAAACCAAGGGATCCTGGGATGAAATGTAGAAGATGACAAAATAATTTAACTATATAGCAAATGTATGAAACCATCTTACTGAAGTGGGGGGGGGCAGAGTGGAAAGAGGTGCTGACAAAGTAATGGGAAAGTGAGTGGAAGCTGTAAAACTAAAGGTAAAAGACTAAAAGAAAAAGAAACTGTACATAAGCACTATACCCTAATTGATAAAGTTACTTCCCATGGGAGCTTGGGTTAACAATTCTGATGTCACTATACATGTTTACTGGAACTGCACAATTAAATACACAGATGGTAAAAGTCAGACTTTTCACTACTAGAGTAAGAGTTTACACAAAAGCAAGGGGAAGAAGCTATAATGATCCATGTGGTAATGAACTGAGTTGGCAACATCAGTATGAATTCATATTTAGTTTAATATAGTTATATTTAGGAATATTTATAAATATGTGTATATGCAGGGGTTAGTATACACATATATATTTTCTTGCTCTGTCAGTTGAGAGGGCCTAGAATAATGACACCCCAGTAGCATAGGGCAGACCTAAAGCACAGATCTTGGGTTCTAATACCATTCTCCAATAAAAGGAATCAGGGCTTCTTAGAAAAATGGCTCAATCTAGGACCAAGGCAGGATATATACAACATGAAATTGGAGCACCTAATGGTGCCAGAAAGTAAGCAAGTGCTAACCATCCAAAAAACCAAAAAATCCTGTACGGATGAGAATTTGTCAAAGGGATCTAAGAATTAACATTAAGAGTTAAACCTGGAACAACTTGAGCAATACAACAGTGTTGGATTACAACCCAAAATATAAAATAAATACCATGAGTCCATACTGATATAAATAAGTAATTGAATAAATAAATAAACAAGGGAGAAGATAAGAGACTCCCAGGCAGAATTCTAAATAATTTATGTATCTAGAAGCTGGAGGATAACTCCCCATCTTTTAACAAGTGTGGGATGCACATAGGGACTTCCTTCCAAAAACGGTATGGAAAGGAGGGGAAAAAGGAGTAATTTTAAAGTGGAGAAATCTGACAAATGTTACCCCAGTCAGATGATCAAAGTCAACATCCTCAGTGAAATGTCATGCTGACATATGTACCCTTCATATGACATAATAAAAATGGTATTTTATCTTTGTGGTCTTCCTCCCCAAATCACATAACCCCAGTCTCATTAGGAGAAAAACATCAGACAAATCCCAACCAAGAAACATTCTACAAAATATCTGAGGAGTACTCCTGAAAACTATCAAGGTCATCGAAAAGAAGTAAAGTCTAAGAGACTGTCACAGACCAGTGAAGCCTAAGCAGACAGGACTACTAGATGTAATGTGTTATCTTGGGGCGGGGCGGGAATGGGCGCAATCCTAGAAAAGAAAAAGGAAATTAGGTAAAAACTAAGGAAATGTGAATAAAATATGGACTTTAGTTAATAATCATGTATTAATACTGGTTTATTACTTGCAAAAAAAAAAAGGTACCACATTAATGTAAGGTGTTAATAATAGGGGAAAGTGTGGGGAGGATGGGAACTCTGTGCTATCTTTAAAATGTTTATATAAATCTAAAGCTGTTTTAAAATAAAAAGTTTATGTGGGGGGATGCCTGGCTGGCTCAGTCGAAAGAGCATGTGACCCCTGATCTTGGGGTTGTGAGTTTGAGCACCATGGGTGGGTGTAGAGATTACTAAAAAAAATAAATAAATAAACTTTAAAAAATAAAATAAAAAGTTGACTTTTAAAAAACACGAAACAATGGTATTTCATTTGGCTTAATACAACATTCACTGACTCCTCTTTGTTGGTCTTTGAGTATTCATCAGGGGAGCAGCTTACTGTCTCATCCACACATTCCTGGCTTTTCCAGTCTGACTAAAGCTGAAAGCCAAGCAGCAAGTTAAGATACCAGCTAATTAGATTACGTTACCTAACTGAATGGTATTTCCTGACTGCCAAGCATCACTCTTCCCTGGTTCTAGTAATCACATCCCTATTTTATTTTGGGAAAGTCCTGTGTCAATCTGCCCCACTGCTCATTCCCCAGCAGTTCTCAATGTAGAGAACACTCCATAAATACTGAGTGCCTGAGCGAAATCCCACCTTTTTTGCTTAGAAGTAAGTGCTGATATTTGCATTTGTTGATGCAAATTATCTCTTTCCGGTTTGTTATCTAGTCCTAGCTTGTAGTTAGTTTCAGATTCATATTGTGAAGGTAAAAGGCTCTGCCTAGCTCACCCAGCCCATTTCCGTCCTTTCCTCCACCTTTTAACATAAACTGAAATTTAGATGACCCAGAAAGTATCTTTCTGTTACACTCCTGTTGAAGACAGATTTATTGATGTAAGAACACAATGAACTAACAAGAATTAACTGAAGAGCCAGATGCTCACAATGGAAGAGATAAAAAGTAGGAGCTCCTAGTTCGAAGCTTTCCATCTAATCAGCAGTAAGAAAGTACCAGAAACATGATCTATTTGGAGGCTGCTATTAGAGTTATGATATAATGACTATCACCTAACTTCCCATCATCAAGCTAGATCAGACCTTTAGCTAACTGAGGAGAACTTAACTATATAAAGATAAAGACAACTACATAATTTGGTTGTATTAATTAGGAGCTTTTTCAAAAACATGAAATACCTTATTTGAAAAAAATTAGTAACAGTTGCTGTTTTATAAAGTCCTAAAAGGAAAATACTGTGTTATATATCATCAGTTCCCCTTAAAAGATATAGAAATGAATAGGACTCAACTCAGGCATGAAATAAATGTTAAGAATATTTCATTTTAAATGGCCAGTTATAAGAACTTCAACTTTTATGCCTAGAAAAATAAAACTGACACTAGATAAGTACTTAATCATTTAATGCGTTAACAATGTTAGGCTGTAAAATACAAAAACTAACCAAAGCAAGTCAAATTCCCCCATTTCTGGATTTAAAGCCACAACTTACAGCTTCTTCCTCTCCCAAGAAGTTTTCCCCCTAATTTTATATTTTAAATGAACCCCAAATTATCCCAATGTTCCCCAGTTCAAACAGCAACCAGATGTTATAGAAATAACATCCAATAATTATCATCACTATATTATTAATAATAATAATGATAATAAGCTAATCCTATGACACAGACATTATAGGTTCCATTTTAAAAAATAAGTAGGCACAGTGAGGTTATGCATGAGGTCACTCAGCAAGAAAAGTGGCTAGAGAGAGACTATCAATTTCAGCCAAAGGACCCCAGAATCTATGGTTCTAAACCCATCACTATTTACTTACAAAGTAAATTTGACATTAAGGCTTAATGGCACCTTGAAGCAACCTAATTTCTAAAATTAGGCATATAGTTCCAATAACAAGTAAGGAAAGACGGAAGGGATTTATATATCTGGCTTTTATGATTTTGTAGGCATTAACTCTGTGAAGCTGGGCTCCAGAAGATGTACTTTAAGGTCCCTGTATCCACCCACATCCCTGTGATGTTTGAGAGGAACAAAGACATTTCCATACAGTGTAAAAATCTCCATGTGTCGGTCTTTAATCACTCACTTTCAAAACAGAAGTTGAGAAACTGAGTTTGTTTACTTTCCTATTTCATTTAGTAATGAATGACACAAGAAAAATACCTTCGCTTTAAAGGCAAATCTTTCTTCTTTTCCTGAACATTACAATCTGCCTGTTTTCATACATCTTCTAAAATAATTGACAAAAACAACGAATGTAAATAAGCAGTAGAAATATGTGTCATAAGGGTGTGTGTATATGTATGTGTACCAGGCATTGGGATCCTAGGCTGTCACCATCAATTTTCTACTTTCTAGCCTTCAAGGTCTCCTCACCCATAGGGGAGGAGGTTGGGCTAGTTAAATAAGTGACTTTTTTTTTTTTTTTTTAAATAACCAGTAAGCAAAGAGAGGGCCACACAGGCAGGACTTGGAAGGGCACTCAAATCCTGTGTCGAACAACCACCCTGCCTGGAATATTCTCCTGGTTAGTGTTTTCTCTTCCTTCAAGTCTCACCCTGAACACCATCCCTCAGCCACGTTTTCCGTAACTGCTCCAGGCAGCTCTCTGTCATCCTCTATCATCTGCCCTATTCTAAACTCATCACTAGTTCTTGGTTTGCTTGTCATCTAGTTCAAAGTCTGAAAAATGGCAGACAAAAAAATTGGTTAAGGGATGCCTGGGTCGCTCAGTCGTTAAGCGTCTGCCTTTGGCTCGGGTCATGGTCCCAGGGTCCTGGGATCGAGCCCCACATAAGGCTCCCTGCTCAGTGGGGAGCCTGCCTCTCCCTCTCCCACTCCCCCTACTTGTGTGCTCTCTCTCTCGCTATGTCTCTCTCTGTCAAATAAATAAATAAAAAATCTTTAAAAAAAGAAATTGGTTAAAATAATGGTATTATTATTTCAGAACTCATCATTATTAATGTATTATCTCTTATAGTTACACTTGCTCAGGATTTTATTTCAACAAACGATCACTAACAAAAATTTTTAAACATTCTGGACTCGATTTGTGTGAGTCCCTTCTATCTGTAAAGATACTCTGACTGAAACCTTGTTTCTCCCCTCATTAATTTTCTTATCTGAAAGATGTAATATACACCTAAGTTATCTTCTTCCCACATTAAAAGTGCAAAGGAATTCATATATGTCAAATTCTAATTTTACCAAGACCACTCAATATTACCAAACCCCTAAGTAGGCTGTGACCATGTTATTTACTCCAACTCAAAATATAGATTTATGCAACTCAGATGTGCCAGATATACACCATACACCCAAAGAGGTGAGGCACATATATTTTCAAAATTAATTTTATAGTTTATCATAATACCATAATTAATTTTCATTTTATCCTGAAGTACTTAATTTATATAAAAAGATCAGTAAACTTAAGTTTTAAAATGAATATCTGAGAACCACCAACTACTCTAAAGAAGCAGAAAATCACTAATACACTGAAGTATATCCTACTATGCTCCCTCCCCAGCACAAGCGGGGATTAGGGGGAGCACCAGAGGCACTATAAAAAACAAGCAGATCAGGGGCGCCTGGGTGGCTCAGTCGGTTAAGCGGCTGCCTTCGGCTCAGGTCATGATCCCAGGGTCCTGGGATCGAGCCCCGCATTGGGCTCCCTGCTCGGTGGAGAGCCTACTTCTCCCTCTCCCTCTGTCTGCCACTCTGCTTACTTGTGTGCTCTCTCTCTCTCTGTTAAATAAATAAATAAAAAATCTTAAAAAAAAAAACAACAAGCAGATCACAGTAACAATATAAAGGCTCTGAAAATTAAACTGTTCTGCAACCATAGCTCACAAACACAAAGGGATCTCTGTGATAAACCTAAACAGGCTGACTGCCTACTAAAATAAAAAATTTAAATAGTATCCAAACATAATAGAATCAACCCAAGTGTCCAACAGATGAATGGACCAACAAAACAAGGTATATAAATACAATGGAATGTTCTTCAGCAATAAAAATGAATGAAGTTCTCATACATGCTACAAACATGGATGGACCTTGAAAACATTATGCTAAGTGAAATACATCAGACCCAAAAGGACTAATATTGTGATTCCACTTAAATGAAATATTTAATATAGGCAAATTCATTGAGATAGGAAGTACATCAGAGGTTACCAGGGGCTGAAGTAAGGGGGGTGGTGGGAGTTATTGCTTAATGGTTACTGAGTCTCTCTCTGTCTGGGATGATGAAAAAGTTTTGGAATAGATAATGGTAATGGTGGCACAACAGTGAATGTAATTAATACTACTCTAGTGTACACTTATAATAGTGAATTTTGTGTTACATAGACGTTACTAATTTTTTTCAAAAAATTCCTGCAGACAATTAAAAAAAAAAAAACTACACACTACATCTCATTAACTTGGACCAAAAACAAAAAGTACAACAAACTATTAACAAATTGAATCCAGCAATGTATAAAAAATTACACATCATGACCAATGAGATTTATTTAAGTTCTACAAGACTGGCTTAAAATTTAAAAACAATCAATGCAATTCACCACTAACAACAGGCTAAAGAAGAAAAATTACTTGATCATACTGACTGAAACCGAAAGTGTACTTGACAAAACCCAACACCCACTCATGACAAAAACTCTCAACAAGACTGGAGAAAAACAGAACTACTTCAACCTTCAGGTAATACCTTATTTAATGGTTAAAGAAGGAAAGACTGGGAACTTCAGGGATGTGGCTCTTGCCATTCTTTAACATAGTGCCAGAAGTTCTAGTCACTACAACAAAGCAAGAAAAAGAAAAACCTATACACTGGAAAAGAAATAACACTATCCCTATTTGCAGGTTACATAACTGTCTATGTAAAAAATCCCAACAACTCAAAAGCAAACAAATAAAAAACCTCCTAGATCTAATAAGCAAATTTAGCAAAGTTGTAGATGTTGGAATTATTAAACACCTTAGGTTAGCTGTATTAAAAATGTTCAAAGAATTAAAGGAAACCATGGCTAAAAAACTTTAATATTAATAAGGAAAAAGAATCTGTAAGAAAAATCAAACTAAAAAGTATAGTAATTGAAATTCCCTAGTTTATACAAAACATTATAAGCAATATTAAAAAAAAAAGGGGTAAAATGTGGCCTATACACAGGAAAAAAAATACAGTGGATAGAAACTGTCCCTGAGGAAGTCCAGACATAGGACTTACCAAGCAAAAATGTTACATAAACTACTGCAAGTATGTTAGAAATAAAGGAAACCACATGCAAAAAAAAAAAAAAAAACCAACTAAAGGAAAATACGCAAATGTTGTCTCACCAAATGGAAAATATAAAATAAAATTAGAAATCAGTAATGCGGTGTAATTTAGGCAACTCAGAAAGTATGTGGTAATCAAAAAACAATCCAATGACTGGATAAAGAAGATGTGATACACACCCATACACACACGCACACAGTGGAATTACTCGGCCATAAAAAAGAATGACTTGCCATTTGCAACAATATGGATGGAGATAGAGAGTATTATGCTAAACAAAATAATTAACAGAAAAACAAATACCCTATGATTTCACTCATATGGGGAATCAAATGAACAAAGAGGAAAAAAGAGAGAGGGAGGCAAACCAAGAAACACACGATTAACTATAGAGAATGAAGTGATGATTAACAGAAGGGAGGTGGGCAGGGGGATGGGTTAAATAGGTGATGGGTATTAAGGAGGGCACTTGTGATGAGCACTGGGTGTTGTATGTAAATGATAAATCACTAAATTCTACAACTGAAACTAATGTTGCACTGTATGTTAACTAGCTGGAATTAAATAAATACTTGGAAGAAAAAAATCCTAAATAACCAATGTGTCAAATAAGAAATCAGAAGAAAAACAGAAAATATTTTGAAATAAAAACCAAGGCACAGAATACCAAAACTTATGAAATGCAGGGAAAACAGTGCTTAGAAGAAAATTTATAGCTGTTATTTGCCTATATTAAAATAAAACAAAGATCTCAAATAGCCTAACCTACCATCTTAAGAAACTAGAAAAAGAAGAGCAAACCAAACCCAACACAAGTAGAAAGAAGAAAACAGTACAAGTTAGAGTGAAAATAAATAAAATTGAGAACAGAGAAATTAATGGAACAAAAATATGGTTCTTTTGAAAACATCAACAAAATTGACAAATCTTTAGCTTAGGCTGACCAACAAAAAAATTCATGAATGAAACAGGGACTATGACTGATGACCTAACAGAAATAAAAAAGAACCTTACAGAGAAGTGAGTATAAGAGAATAACTAGGAACAACTACACACTAACAACTTAGCCCAGATGAAACGGACAAATAAATAACTAGAAAGATATAAACTACTGAAATTAACTGAAGAATAAACAGAAAATGTGAATGGATCTATAACAAGAGGTTGAATTAGTAATCAAAACATCTTCCTACAAAGAAAAGCTTAGGGACATACAGTTTCATTGATGAATTTTACCAAATGTTTAAAGAATTAACACCAATATTTCACAAACTCCTCCACATTATAACAGAGAAGGAAACAGTTCCCAACTTATTCTATGAGGCCTTAATACTCTGATACCAAAATCAGATAAAGTTATCACAAGAAAAGAAACTACAGACCAATATGCCTTATGAATATGGATATTGAGTTCTCAACAAAATGCAGCAAACCACATCCACCAACATACGCAGAAGATAATCTAAATAAATGAGAAGACATTTGGTGCTCATATTCTGTAAAACTTAATAATGTTGAGACTGCTATACTCCCCCCAACTGCTTTTTTCTAAATTGATATTTTCACCCTAAAATTCTTAAGAAAATGCAAGGGACCCATAATAGTCAAAACCATCTTTGAAAAAGAACATAGTGGAGGACTCACATTTCTTGATTGCAAAACTTACTGCAAAGCTACACTAATCAAGACAGTGTGGTACTAGAAATAAATGTATAGATTAATGGAATAGAACTGAGAGTCCAGAAAGATCAATCACATTTAGGATCAATCGATCATAAATTGTGCCAAGACAATTCAAACAAGGATAGGACAGTCTTTTCAACAAATGATGCTGGGAAAACTGACTAACTACATGCAAAAAACTGAAGCTGGACTCTACCTCACACTACATGCAAAAATTAACTCAAAATGGATCGAAGACCTGAGTGTAAGAGTTATAAAACCCTTAGAAGATAACAGGTGAAATGTTCCCAACCTTGGATTAGGCAATAGTTTTCATCTAAGACAGCTAAGCAATCAAAGACAAATACAGACACACTGGACCTCATCAGAATAAAAACCTTTGTGCTTCAAAGGGCACAATCAAGAAAATGAAAAGATAACCCACAGAATGGGATATTTTTGCAAATGATTTATCTGTTAAGGATACGTATATAGACTACATACAGAGAACACCCACAACTCAATTAAAAAAAGACAAATATCCCAACTCTAAAAAATGGACAAGGAATGTGAATAAACATTTCTTCAGAAAAAGATAATAGCCAATAAACACATGAAAAGACACTCAAGATCAGTCCTCAGAGAAATACAAATCAAAGCCGAAATAAG